TGCGCGGCTTCACCCCCACCATCGGTCCGCTGTGGTGCCCACGCTCTACCACCACCACTGGGCCTCTGTGGTTCCCGGGCTCTACCACCACCACTGGGCCTCTGTGGTTCCCAAGCTCTACCACCACCACTGGGCCTCTGTGGTTCCCAAGCTCTACCACCACCACTGGGCCTCTGTGGTTCCCGGGCTCTACCACCACCACTGGGCCCAGTCTCCACTGCAGCTGCCACCAGGCCCATCACCCCTCTGGGGCTCCATCACAGCTCACAGGCTGACAGAGCTGCCAGGCTCAGCATGGGTCCCAGGCTGCTAGAACCTTTTTGTTGCTATCAAGTTGCAGCCGACTTATGGCAACCCCATAGGGTTTTCAAGGTAAGAGACATTCAAAGGTGGTTTGCCACTGTCTGCCTCTATGCAGCGACCCTGGTATTCCTTGGTGGTCGCCCATCCAAATACTGACCAGGGCCAACCCTGCTTAGCTTCCAAGGCCTGACAAGATCGGGCTAGCTTGGGTTATCCCGGTCAGGGCTCCACTGACCATGCTTATACCATGCTGAAGGCACTAAGCTCTCTTCTGTGACTCGACCACTGGATACTCAGTACTAATACTGTATGCTCTGACTGGCAACAGCTTTCCTGGGTCTCAGGCAGAACACTGTCACACGGCCATTACCTGATCCTTTTAAAACTAGAGACGCCAGAGATGGAAGCTGGGACCTTTTGCACATGCAAAACAAGGCCATGCATAGAGAAATAGGATTTTTCTACAAACCAGTTAAAATAAATGACAGTTATTCACGAATCCCCAAAGTTGCAGGAAAACTAACCCCCCCTAAAAAACAAGCTGCCTAGCTACCCTCAAGATGCTTTGGTAGGAGAGGGGCTCCCAGGAGGGGCTGGGAGGAAGGCAGAGAAAGCAGGAGCCACGGAGGGAGTCTCCCCATGAGCTTCCCACAGGTTCCTCCGCTTGTTATATCTCAAGATGTAAAATTTCCAGAAATTCTAAAGCCAGGAATAAAAGGTTTCCCTTGAAAAAAATGAAAGACATTTGGGGGGGATATTCAAAGATATGCAGTATTTATAGTGCAATCCTAAGAACATTTTCCTTCAGTTAAGCCCCACTGAACAGAGCTGAGGAGAATTCTGAGTAGACCAGCCTGTGCTCTTACTTCTATCAAACTTAAACTCAGACGATTAAATTACGAAAACAAAATTGTAGTAAAGAAAAGAAAGTGTATTTGGGCATAATCAATACCATAAAATAGGACTGGTGACATATCTGGATATCAAATTAAACTCTCTACCACTGAAAATAGTGATAATGCATTATTATTAAAGTGTACAAATTCATTATAGCATATTAAATGTTGACAAAACAATAAATGTATCCCTGAAATACTGTATTGTCTGCCATATATGTAGGAATTCTCGTTAACCAATGCTGTAGTTTGTCTTACATAAAAATGTTCACGCTTCATGCCTGTGTGACTAAAACCTTGTCTTAAAAACCATTTCACTGATTCCAAAAGAAAACAAAATATTTCGTAGGAAGACTTTTCCCCCAGTGTTCGCCTGTTTTACTATCTGAAAAACGCTGTTGTTGGGTTTTTCCTGATTTCTCCCCCAGGCCTTCACATCTTTAGTTATGTCTGAAATAAGCTTGTGGAGACTACTAGAAATCCAAGGGCAGCTGTTGCACTTTTAAACTAAATAATGTGCTAGGAGCTGCATGGTTTTGCTTCTCATCAGCAAATCTACTTTGCAGCTACAGGCTGATGGCGTTCTGTCACCACCTTCAAAAAACATGCAAAGAAGACTTGAGTGCAAAGTCTACACAGCACTTGGTCAATGCCACAGTACCGCTTGGCTTCACGAGAAAAACTAAACAATAATACACGAGTTAAACTCTCACTAGATGAGCAAACATTGTCACTGCTGTTCTCATTTGTTCTGTGACAAATGACACAACAGCGTTCTCCAATAAACAAAGGACTGATTGATTTAAGGTACAATCAAGTTACTGCGTGTTACCCTTTCTCCTAAGACTTTTTCCACATCAGCTCCTTCAGCAACATACCAAGCAGCTCTGTTTGATTTTCCAGATAATTTCCCTCATAATGGAAACTCAATACAATTGATGCTAATTAAACTAAACCACCAGCTTAACACAAGGAGATGTCCCAGGGCACTCCCTCTCAGGAAGGCTGATTATTTAAATTTAGATAAAAGGCCTTTTATGCCCTCTTTAATGAAAAAAGAAAAATCGATGTCTAGGGAGGAGGGGCAGTGGCGGTGGGTTCATAAAGACCTCTCCTTTGTTTCCGTAAGAGTCCTGGTCAGCTAAAAGGGAAGGAGAATGGCAGTTCATTTTATTGCTTCAATATTGTTATTGCTGCTAGGATTTTAAATTGATAATAAGTGGTTCTGTTTGGTTTCTAATTGTTTTTACCTCATGCACCATTTCCAGGATCTTAAACTAAACGGATTTTATATTGTTTATATCCCCTCCCCAAACAAAAACTCATTTAGCAGCTGGGAAAAAAAAGGGGGGTGTGTGTCCCAGAATAATGGGTGGCAATCCTAGCAGGGGCATACGGCCATTTTAGCCAAGCATATTTGTAAGGATGATGTTTGCAGCTTATTTCTTAGGCCTGGCTTGAACCCAATGATGTTGCTAGACAACAGATTCTGGACAGACAAAAAGTACTTCTGCACTCAGTGAGTAATTAAATTGTGTAATCTGCTGCCACTAGGATATAGTAAGGGCTATACACATAAGATTGCTTTAAAAGAGAATGGGATTCATGGAGGCTAGGTCTACCAATGGCTACTAATCAAGCTGACTAATGGGAATCTCCACATTCAGAGATAGTAAACTGCTGAATTCCATTGCTAGAAGGCAACTTCAGGGCCAGAGTCTGGACCACAGACCTGGTCTCTGTGCCCTGACTGCTGGCCCTCCAGGGCCACTGGTTGGTCATTGTGAGAGACAGGATGCGGGACTAGATGGACCACTGGCCTGATCCAGCAGAGCTCCTCTTATGATGCTGTGATTTTTGTTTGTTTTTTACAAAAGTCACCTGTTCGTACAGCTGGCATCACATTTAAACTGGGTCACAGGCACTTCTTACACCCCCGTTCTAAACAGTATGCTGTACTGTTGGAATTTTATTTTGTTGTGTAAGCTGCCCTGAGCCAGCCTTGGCTGGGAGGGCAGGGTCAAAAATAAAATAAATAAATAAAATGATGGTAGTCAAATCAAAGTCTACTTGTTAATATGCCTGGTTCTACATTTATACCAGGCCTCAAATGCTGATAATTGCTATGCTTAAGAGGTGGGGGACTTGGACAAAGGAAAAAAGTCTCTGCAGGGACTGGCCAACTATCTTTTTTTAACATACACATGTTCCTTCTATGTGTACAAGAATTGGTTCACAGCATATACATAAAAGTTCCAAAGACTTATTGCCTCCAAGTAGTTATTTTCATTTGAAAACGCATGCCACTCCTTCATAGTAACTCTGTGGACAGAAGTTGTTTTACATACCATGTCTGGCTTCAGTCTGAAGGTCAAAGGAAGAGAATAAACGACGGAACGGATGGTTGTTAGCACCGAAGAGCTCCATGACTGACGGACCTCCCGGCTTCTGGGAATGCGATTGAGGGTGAACTTGGAAAACAAGATGGACACAGCAGAATCGTTACAGCTCAGGCTTCCAGGATGTGGCTACCTTTTATTTGTTGCTACAGAGCTACAACCACTCCCATTGATACACGTGGTTCAGATGCCAAAGAAGGTTGCACTGATCAGGCTTAGTGCTTTGAATGGATTCAGACTGTACCTTTCTTCTATGTTCCAGAAGAGGAAACTGAGCCTTCTGAGCTTCTCAGTAATTTTTCTGAAGCAATATCCAGCACCAACCAGCTTTAAAAACCTTGAAAAGTACACAAGAACTAAGGCGGTACAAACACCCCTAGGGCTCATGGTAGCATATATGCACAACATAAATCAAACAATGTAAATGAGCATCACTATTTTTTGTTCCTTTTTGAATAGCACCGCTCAAATGTTCCTTTTTGAATAGCACTCCTCAAATCTGCAGTTCAGAATATGTGAACCACAAATTGTTAACTTAGAGCCCCACCTGGTGGACAAAAAGACACATTGTTCACAGCAGAGCACAAAGAGGAAAATGAGTCCGAGGACTTCAAATATAAGACGGTTGCTGCTATAACTGTGGTTTGCAGGGTACCCCTGCCCTTTCAGCATCACTTTAGGACAGCACTCTGACCAGGGATTCTCAAGCTGAGTCACAGTCATCTCCTCAAGTACAAACAGGCCCGCAGCTACCACGGGGCCCGGCCCCCTAGTGGTTTCTATGGGCCCTCCCCGAGCCTTGGCTCCCCCTCCCCATGGGCCCCCTCCCCCCATTGCCTGTTGGCAGGGAGGACGAGGGCAGCACAAATGGTGGCCAGCCTGGGCTAAAGAGCAGCATGGGCAGGCAGCGAACATGAAAGGAGCTGGGAGAAGCCTCCTTCTTGGGCTTCCACGAGACACTCGCTGCATCACCATCCAGCAGCAAGTAAGCCAGGCAAGGCAGGCGGCTGGCTCCTCTGGCCCAGGCCAGACGTGCTCAACTGTGCTCCAGTGCACCAATGAGCTTGCACGCAGCACCTTCGTGGCCAGCCCGGGAAGGAGCCATGGGTGGGAGTCAGGCTGTCCCTGGTGCTGCGCTGCTGCGGGAGGGGAAACTAGGGCTCCTTAGGGAAGGAGGGAGCCAGATGCTCTGCAGGGAAGACCTGCCCTTGCAGGGGGGTGGGGAGGGAAGCTGCGGCCACTGGGCATTACCCCGCCTTACCCTGGAGCCTGGGTGTGTATGCAGTGCTCCCTTAGGAGTTCTACCAATTAAATCATAGTTAATTTAATTAACTTTGATTTAATTGGCTGGTGGGGCCCCCAAGGCCCCCTTCCCAAAAAATCCTTAGCCAAAGGGCTGAGTACAAAGCAAACACTTGTCAAAATAGGGTTGAAGGTTTCTGAATATGACTAAGGAAAAGAGCTCCCTAGTGGATCAGTGTTCTCTCTAAGCTGAGTTAGTTAGTGTGAGGTAGCTCAGTTTTTTAGCCTCTGGCTCACACATTTTTGTCTTAGCTCAGGAAGGATGGCTCCAGAGCAAACTAATTGATGCAGTAGCCAAATCACTCGCTCACAACTTTAATGCCAGTAGTTCACAAAGTAGAATTTTTTGCATACAAGACTCCACAGCTTAGAGGGAATATTGGCTGGGATGACTGTCATCTGTCCAAGTAATGTGAGAGGACAAGCTACAAATTGAGGCTGCAATGTTTAATTGATTATTTAGTAACATTGATTGCACGACCTTTTGATAATTTTTACAAAGGTGCGCCAGATTTTAAAACTATATGGTGTTTTTTTAAAGTAATAACTATAGGTATGAGTCTTTGAGTGACAATTCTCTTATAAACCTAAATAACAACTCTGAATAGTGCTTTTCAAAAATGTCCATTTCATGGTGTTCAGATAATATTGTTTGATCAACTGTGTGTGTGCCTTCCATTGCCATAGAGTACAGTACGAAAAAAGAACGGAAAATTGTGTGGTCTTCACTGGGAACAAAAGCTCCATCTTTGAAATGTTAGATGGAACTGCAGCACGGATCAACTCCCTGAGATCTCAGCTGACTCATAACTTTTAGCATTTGATAGCAATGAGATCAGACAGCTAAAGAAAAAAGCAACCTTATACTCTAAAGGATGGTTAGTGGAGATAAGTCTGGCCTGAAAGTCCAGCAGGGGGAAAAGCCCTAAAGCGTGTATCAACAACAAAAATTCAAGCTTTCAGAAGCACATCCAAGTGAAACACAGCTTTCATTCTCCTGAGTTTTGGTTACATAGAACTTGTTAGGTACTTAAAAGAAAACAGATGTATGTTAAAATGTGCATGTCTAAAGATCCTATCAACTTAAACCCCACACTTCTATCTGATATTTTGCTGTGTAGAAAAAGATTGAAGAAATACTTATTTGCCCACCCAACTTATCTTTCCCTTATCAACTAAGCTGAATTGATTATATCCTAGCTAAAGTAATTAAAGTAGAGCTGTTGGCAAAGTTGCAGTGAGGAAAAGCCTGAGACAAGATACAGAGTTTGTGTTTGTGTGTAATAGTCCAATATTAGAACTTCTTATGCAAGCGCTTGTGTTTAGACTCTGGCATACCAATAGTAAGCAGGACTGATGCAATTCTTATTTACCTTGGCCTGTTCGTTATCAGAACTGTACATGAAAGATTATTGGAACCGTACACAAGAAATCGGATTGCGACTTCCGGTTAATGGCGGCACGCTCACGGACTCACCTCCCAGGGGTGTCTCCATGCTCTGGCGGACGGAGGGGATGAGCAGGCTCGTAAACTCCCCCCAGGAGCCCGGGGAAGGGCACCTGGCCAAGGAACTTTGAGGGGGTAGCCTCTTCTCAGGCCGAATGCCAGAGAATCGAGGCTCCCCCTTGCTCCAGTGGTCCGTCCAGCCGAGAGACCTGATGGTACAAGTGAAGCTAGCCGGGTCAAGCACAGGAAATCAGCAGTGAGACGACGAAGGCGATGACAGAGGTCATGCGCCCTTTGCTGGAACAGCTCAATGTCTTTAAAGAACAGATGTCTGTGGTAACAGCGAATATTACTGTACAACAAAAGCAGCTGCAAGTTGTGACAACAAGCATTACTGCTCAACAAACGCAAATAACGGATTTGATTCAAGTAATGAAGCAGGATGCTGAGAAAGTAAAGGAAATGGCTGAGACAACGCAGGTAGTGAGGAAAAAAGTGCAAAAATTGGAAAAGAAAACTGTATCTTTGGAAGATCAGATGCTGCAAGTGCAAATGGATAAGGCTAATATGGTCCTGCGCTTCCAAGGGGTGCCAGAGAAAAGAGGAGAGAATCTTAAAGAACTTATGAGTGAGCTACTTGCCCCAGTAGCAGATATAAAGGCGGACTTGCTACTCAACGACATGGATGTGGCCTACAGGTCATATTCAGGATACATAAAGAAAAATAATCTGCCTGGGGAAATTGTAGTAAGATTCTCGAAGAGGCACGTCAGGGATGCTATCCTGAAAGCAGTTGCTGCGACACCCCTGAAGGTGGGGGAGAATGCTGTCAGAGCGCTAAAGGATATTCCATTTGAAGTAAGACAACGCAGAAAGAAATACAAAGAACTTGTGTTTTTCCTCCAAACAAACTCAATTGGATATAAATGGCTGTTTCCAGAAGGAGTAATATTCAAGATCAAGGAGAAGAAGGTCAAGATTGACTCTGTTCTTAAAGCTCAAGAGTTTCTAAAGGAGCAGCTGGGAAGGCCAGAGGACGAGAAAAAAGAAGAGGACGATAAGTCCAGTGGAAAGCTGGAAACTGGTTCGTCTGGTGAGGACTCTTTGTCTGAGCAGGGGGCATCAGCCCCGAAAAGTTCCTACAAACTGCGGAAGAGAGAGACGAAGAAGTAAAGGCTGAAGGACTCTGAATTGTGCCTTTGAGAACTTTGGTTCTAGGGGATGATGGGGGGCACTGTTATTGGGCAATTAAATGTAACTGGGGATGGTTAAAAGGGTTAAAAGATTGACACAGTTCATAAGAAGTACAAAGATGAAAAGTCTGAATGAAGTATAAAAAGCTAGTTGGAGATCTCCTCTCTTGGGTTTTTAGTTAGTAGTGGGTTCTTTACTTTCTCCCTTATATGTAGCTTTCCCTTTCCCTTTTTTCTGTTCTAGTTTTTGTAGTGTTTAAAAAATCAATAAAAAATCCCCTCCGGGGGCTTAAAAAAAAAGAAAGAAAGAAATCGGATCACAGGTATATTTTTGGAATTCTAAGTGTGAGCTCTTTTAACTTTTTGTTGCATCCTTCCATTTTTCTTTGTAATGATGTTTTCACTAATAGGTTTATACTTCATGTGTTACAGATATATGTTTCAGATGTTTCCCTTTTCCCTCTATGTTTGGCTGATATAGAGTGTCATTTTTATACTGTAAATAAATTTGCTTGGATGTTGCATCATGCTTGAAAATGTTTTGACTCTTGTCTTTTATAGACAGTTTACAACAACTGTACAAGGCCATTTTGCAACGGGACTGTAACAGAAACAAGTCTGAAGAAGATATCGAAACAGTGTCTTAATTAGATGGCAGACCATCAATTGTTCCACTTTTCGAATTATCATAATTTACTGTATCATATACTGAATTTTTAATACCTTAATGGTCATACCTCACTGTATATATAGGGACTGTTTTCACTATATAATAATATTTTGTTTGTACACAAGTATATCAGCCTTTTCCTCCCTTTTTTGTGGCCCCTGGTGCTCAGTATCTTTTGCGGTTTCCTACAGAGGTCCCCCCCCCTTTTTCACTCTATACCACTAGTAATGCCAACACAAAAGCACAAAATGTGGCACTGTCTTGGTATCACAGCTGTCCTAATGCTACAGGTAGGCACACTGGTGCAGTTACCACTGGTCAATATATTGTCTTTTTTCTATTACATCCTATGACGTATGGTCTTTTTGAATTTGATCTGCTGACATCTACAAGGAACACAATATGAGCTTCTAGAGGATTACATCAGTGGCTATACCAGTATTTCTTAAACTACACTTAAAGGGCCCCCAGAAGTCCCAAATGCAGTTTCAGGTGGCTTCAGAAGAAATGGCTAGAGTCCTCTGACATTTTGGCCACGGATGGGAACCCACTATCAGTTTTCAAAACATAAGACTGAATCAAGCAGCTGGCCCAAATGGAAAATTTGAAAGAAAAGAAAAAAAGCGGCTGTGTGCACATCTCTCTCCTTTGCGTACAATTATTATTATTTAATTGGAACTTTAGACATTCTGTTTGTAATTAAGTCCCATGGACTTCAGTGAGTACAGGCAGCCTCCAGCACACATGCCAAACAGCAGCACAGCAGACCATTTTGCTCAGCACCCGAGCTCGGTCCTCCATCCAAGCAAGCAAGACAAGCCCCCGAAGCAGTGGCAGCTCCACTGGGACCAGCGCCATGGGAGAAGGCCCTGAGGCCCTACCCCAGGCCTGTCATCACCTTCCAGACCCCAGCAGCAGCTAGCCAGGTCCAAGGGAAGCTCCGGCAGTGCTGACAGTGCTCCTGGGACTCGGCTTCCTCCCGGGCCAAGTACAGTCCTCATCCCTCCACACACACCCCCACCATACAAACCCCCTTTTGTTTGCTGGCATTTTTGGCACCGATTTAAACCCAAGTTATTATAGATAAAATATTGCTGTATGCAGATGATAAATTGATAAAGAAATTGTATACAATAATGTTAGAAGCCAAAACACAGGATGAAGTGCTGAAATGGACAAATTAACTTTAATCTTGAAAGGACACAGAGGGGACAAATTTGAAGAAACATGGCCAAGACTTCATCACTGGTTTGAAGAACTGAAGTATCGAAACATGTTAAAACCAAAATTGAGGTTAAGAACATTATATTAAATATTGTGCAGAATTTGGACAGGATCATATGGTGTAGAAATAAGTTTTATGATTTGAGAACAAATTCTTTACTCAAAGTATGAAGGGATGCTCCCATTTTTTGTTTGTCTTTAGTATTGTCAGTGTTTGTCTGTATGTCTGTGGTGTATGTTTAATAAAACAAATTTATATAGACCCGTGGTATTAAATTGACAGCATCCATTTAAAAACCTTTGATTATTTCTGTCCCTTCTATGTACTTTTCCCTTTGAATGCTGAAATAGTATTGGGTTGGGGTTTTTTGGTAATATATGAGTCTGTAGGCACAAGGGGTTAGGGTTAGGGACAGAGAGAAATGCTGGGCGTCGTGACTTGAAAGTCACAAACAGATACAAAATTTGGATGTGAGGGCGATCTGGCTGTGACATCTGTCACCCCACTGATCACCAGGGTTGATATAAAATTTGATAAATAGAAGATGAAACATGGAAATGGCAATACTGCAGAGCATAGCATTTCTCCCCGTACTTTCAAAGGCAATTTAAATTATTACTTCAGAATCAAAATATAAGAATAGAATAGAAATAGATTTGTATTTAGCCATAAGCCATTACAAACCAGGGGTTAGAGTAAAATTTAAGATATAATAAAACCATACAATCGGAATAAAATTGAGTCAAAAGGTATCTGCTAATATCAATATTAATTAGTTCCCATAAGAACAGCGTCAGCCCATATTTTCTTTGCAGCCAAAGCATATAAAGACATTCTATAGGATATGTTGGCGTCAAAATCAGCTAACAAGAATACAATCTTCTCAGAATCTAAGTAGAAACGTAAGTCTGATGAAATTCCGGAAGAAAAAAATTAACGTCAGTTGGGCATACATCGAGCATTCAAGAATATAATGGGGAAGATCCTCGATAACAGAAGAGCCGCAAACACAAAAGCACTGTTCCTTAGGTGTTCTACTGTAGCGGCCGGCTAATACAGCCGTTGGCATTGATTCAAAATGTAAGGATGTGAAGGCTGCTCTCAGGTTGTGATTATCTACACTAACTAGGTAGGAGGATCTAAAATGGTCATTCTTAAACAATTTGAACCAGGGAGCAGACTGTGATTTCAAGATTAACTGTTTATCTAGCAGAGCATCACACTTAAATACCCAGTCTCTAAGATCTGAACTGTTTGTTGAAGGACTGAGGAGGTCATCACCTTAAGGAAGGAAGGCCAGTTTCTGCTCTCATCAGGGCAACTGGCGTTCCCTTAGGAAGAGCCAGGATATGCCTAAAACACTGATTTTGAATTGTTTCAGTACTAGTGAGAATATCCTCTTTCCATCCCCAAACCTCAGCACCATACAGAAGGTGGGGGATGACCTTACTTTTGAATAATTTTAAAACGGGATCAATAAGAAAGCCACCCTTAGTATAGTAAAACCTCAAAATAGACCTCACAATCCTTGTCGCAGATGCTCTTACTGTGGCAATATGAACATTCCAGTTCAAATTCTCTCTAAATGTGATTCCTAAATACTTAAAGGAACTACACTGATTTATTGAGTTGCCAAGTATACTCCAGGAGGATATTTGAGCCCTTTTCCTAAAGACCATCACTTTGGTTTTTCCAAAGTTAATATTAAGGGCCTCTTCCTTACAGTATAATCCTAGTTCCTGCAATAGTCTTCTCATCCCGATTTTAGTAAGTGATATTAGGGCCATGTAATCTGCATAAAGTAAAATTGAGATTTTATGCTCCCCAAGGATAGGTGGAAAGAACTGTGGGCCTGATAGCCTGTCAACAATTTTGTTTATATATAAATTAAACAATAAAGGTGTCACCACACAACCCTGCTTCATCCCTTTATGTATTGGGATTTTGTTAGTTAAGGACCCTGATGTTCCGACTCTAATTTGGGCACTGATGTCTGTGTGCAGCTCACGTAACAGGAGTAACAACCTTTTATCAATATTCAGTTCTGCCAATTTTTGCCATGTTGTTCCTATCAATGGAGTCAAATGCAGCGGCCAAGTCCATGAAAGCTACATATAGAGATTTTGTGGGGCCATTTAAACCTGCCTATGCCAATTGGTGAAGAGTAAGGCAGTGGTCGATGGTGGAAAGTCCTTTCCTGAATCCTGCTTGATGGGGATGTATTATGTGGTTCTCAGAGACCCAATCCTCCAGCTTAAGCAACAGATATTTACTGTATACCTTTGCTGCTATGTCAAGCAGACTTATTGGTCTGTAATTCTGTGGATCTGTTTGTCCCCTTTCTTATGAATGGGAACAATAGTACTTAGCTTCCAACCAGAGGGAATTGAACCTGTACCATTAATTTGTGTGAAAACTGCAGCTGGCACAGATGACCACCATGTGGGGAAAGCGTTATAAAAATCTGATGGGATCAAATCTTCCCCAGGTGATTTTCCGGAAGCCAATGAGGTAATTATACCATTGATCTCTTTCTCTGAAACTGGGGCCCATTCATGGAGGTCTGAGGTATCTAAAATGGAACTCTGTGACTGGGATGTAACTACAGGGAAAGAAGGTACACGTGACCCAAAAACCTTACTAAAGCGCTGTACCCAGATTTTAGGAGGGATATGCCCCACTATCTGTTGGGAGGAGCTGTTTATACCACTGGATACAATGTCCCAGAAGCATACTTTCAAAGGCAATTTAAATTATTACTTCAGAATCAAAATATAAATACATCTATTACCAATACGGATAGGAGAACTTACCAAAGAACTGGGAGAGGTCTCTGCTTTTTTTCGTTCAAATGAACGGATTTTGTCTTCACTCATCTTATCTGAATCAGCCAAAACATAATGCCTAGGAGAATAGGACTGGGAAAGACTACCAAGTAACCTCAGGATTTCTGTGGTGTGCCCTCCTGGGGGAAAAAAGAAAAGAACCAACGTTAGTTTGAGGGAGATTTGCAAATTGCAGGATTCTGCTAAGTCACCTTCTTCACAAGTAGCCTCAAAAATGGGAGCCCGCATGGTGATGTGGTTAGAATGCCGGACTCAGGTTCAGATCCCTACTCTGCCACAGACATCCACTGTTTTTCTCTGCCACACCTACCTCACAAGTTGTTGCTGTGAGGATAAAATGGAAGAGAGGAAAACGATGTTGTAAACTCTATGAGTCCCCGTTAGGAGGGAAAAGCTGAGTATAAATATCTTTTTTAAAAAACCCATATGTAAAGCTTTGTTATCCAGCACGTATGGAATGGGGATTGCCATCTTGCTTCTCAGTTTCTTGAGGGTAGGAGATGGGGTCTGGGGGATTCCCTGCCAGACCTGGGCAACTGGGAAGCATATCAGAAGAGCTGGCTCCTGGCCAGCTTGATACAGGATGAGGGGGAAGGAGGTACCTGAGGGTGATGTCATCTTGCACCACAGGAGTGTGGTAGAGCTTTCCCTCTGGGCAACACTGGTTAACTAAGTTTTCTCAATATCTAAATACTGGCTAATAAAACTTTTAATCAACAACTCATTTTAATAAGGGTTGAAGCATCATGTGTTGAATTATCCATCACAAAGCAAAATACCACAAATAAAACTTTCATGGTGCGACAAACACAATGCATGTTTGTTGCATAATTTTACACATTCAGCTTGCATCAGCGAATCTAAAGATATAAATATTTATATACATGCATATGTCAGTTGGCTCTCTGAATCACACACTTTGTCCTTAATCCTCAAAATCTGTCTGAATGTATTTGTCTATAATATATGTGAACACCGCATTTGTCCTTAATATGTTTCAGTGAGGGCACAGCAGAATCCAGATCCAGAAATCTAATCAATATTATTTTATAAAATTGGGTAATTTAGTCAGGCCCGTAGCCAGGATTTTTTAAATTGGGGGGGGGGGCTTTAAATAAGTCGGGGAGCACTGAAATAAAAATTTTAAAAACTTACATACACTGGCTGGCCCCAGACCCAGGTGGTCTTCCCCTGTGGTGGCTGGATGCAGAAGGCCCCGGATTCAATCTCAAGCATCCTCACTTAAAAGGTCCTGAGGGAAGGGGAAAGGCTTGCCTAAGAAAGCCCCAAAGGGGCCAGTTCAGCATCAGGCAATCTGAGAGGTCAGGTGGGCCCCCAGGCACCAAAGCAGCAGCAGAGGCGCTTGCGAGCCATGAGCAGCAGGCGAGTCAGAAGGGTGCACAGAAGCAGCAGGATGAGGAGCGGGGTGGGCATGCTGCACACGGCGCTTGGCTGGGATCTACAGGAGGAGGTCTGGCTGTAGAAAGCGCCTCTTCCTGTGCAAAATGCATGTGAGTCCCCCCCTTCACACCTGTAGAGCTGCTTGGCAGGAAGGAAGAGCCAGCCAGCGTGGATCCCTCACTGTTTTTTTCCCCCTGAGGAGGTGTGGGAGAAATTTCAGGCTGTGCAACGGGAGGGAAGGAAAGGAAAGGAAGCGGGGGGGGGGGCCTCGCTCCTTGCATGCCTGCAGATTCTGCTGTGTGCCAGGACAGACCCAGGAAGCAGCCACCGCTGCCACCATGGCCCGCACAGGGGCCTTCTCCTATCCACTGCTGCTGATGGAGCAGCAGCTGGCCCCCTCGCTGTCCCAACTCCTGAGGTGGCCAAGGAGGATGACAAAAAAGAGGAGCCACCCCCATTGCGGACCTTGGTGCCCCACTCCTTCCTGGCGCCCTGAACCCAGCACCTGCCCACCCCTGGCGGCCGCAGCAACCATGGGGGAAGGCAAGGAGAGGCCTGCTGGGCTGCTGGCTGGTGGGGAAAGGGAAGGGGCGGCGGTGACGGGGAGTCCTCTGGGTGGCCCAGAGAGTAAGGGGGGTTGGGCTGCATACCAAATCGTGGGGCCTTGGCAGAAAGTAGGGGGGCCAGGCCCCGGGAGGCCCCACTGTAGCTATGGGCCTGAATTTAGTGGGTCCCCAACATGGCATCTGTAGGTGACATGGCACTTGCCGACATCTTTCCTGGAACCCACCAAGTGTTTTTAGTAAGCGGGTGGGGCCAGATATGGCTTTTGCCCAGCAGAGTTTCTGACTGTCCACTGGCCATACAGACTTTTTAAAATGTAGGTTCAGCA